CCATCTTTTCCCACTAACTTTCATTCAAGATATATTTAGTTGTGGCTGAAAGCCACTCGCCTACCCTCCGACTAGCCTGTGGGATTGTTTTTTCAAAAATCATTTGGCTTACCTTCATTTTCTCACGTTTCTTTTTCGCCGGAAGCTAAACGTTTGTCAGATGCCAACAACACCTTCTCTATTGCCAGAATATCCAGTGCCAGTCATGAGAGAAATGGCGCAATATACCTTTATCGCTATATTTTCAGTATTGCTGACAACAATGCTCGCTACCCTATGTAATTGATACCCTTCAACGCCTCCATCCAGATGGGCTTTTACCAACACAGCACTCTATTTTAAGATAACGAACGAGTAGTACAAAGATGAGGAAATGAATTGATCTATACCATCATCTCGCTGTTGTTGACTACGGATAAAAATATTACTACGAGTTATGAAACGAATGGTGCTCATATCAAAAGGCAAAGCTGTCCTCATGGAAACCAGTTCACATCCATTTCAGCAACAATTTAATAATGTCCGATGGCATAACTACTCCATACTTGATCCTCTCTTCCGTCATCGGTCACTATGAGCCAAGCCTTTATCCAAGCCATTCATCTAGGACCACATTTTCTTTAAATACGCCACTAATACTCGTTTCCCCAAGCGGTGTGGTCACGAAAATGCAAGATACAAGTACTCAGAGGAGCCGGTGGGATGTTGCTCCCAGTGGGGAAGGAGACGCCTGGAAGGATCTGCATTTCTCTCTCACAACAACTTTGTACTGAATGGAAACGTCACAAGAATGAAAATTTTAATCTAGGTTGAAATATATTCTGCGGTTATATATTTACCCTTAGGTGAACACACAAACACCCTGACGGATACAATTTCTAGGTGTGGGTTGGCTTATTGGCTCTATGTTTATATGAAATATCTCAAACGTCTTCTGTCATTACAAATACTCCATGCTCAAGGTCAGATGCCTGTACTGATTCTCCTGTGACCACGTACAGCACTGAGGTATGTCAGCCTACCAATTGATTTTAAGACAACCATATTAACTAGCCCTAGGATCAATACAAAGATGTAGCGGTTATTGGTATGGCATGCCGCGTTCCCGGCGGCATACAAGATCCTGAAAGCCTATGGCAGGCACTTCTGGAACAAATGGTTGCTTGTGGAGATATTCCCGTCCATCGCTGGGAGCCGTATCATAAAAGAGACCCCCGCAACAAAAAGATCCTTGATCAAACAACAAGCCGAGGGTATTTTGTCGATACTATTGAAGACTTTGACTATCAATTCTTCGGGGTCTCGCCCAAGGAAGTTGAACAAATGGATCCACAGCAGCGAATTTCCCTTGAAGTTGCTTGGGAGGCTTTAGAACACGCCGGTATTCCTTCAAAGTCACTTAGCGGCAGTGACACAGCTGTTTACTGGGGTGTCAACTCGAATGACTATTCAAGATTGGTATTGGAAGACCTACCCAACATTGATGCTTGGATGGGAATCGGAACTGCATATTGCGGAGTTCCAAACCGGATATCCTATCATTTAAATCTGACTGGGGCAAGCGTTGCCGTTGATGCTGCTTGTGCCTCTTCCCTTGTTGCTGTGCATCACGGTGCAGCCGCTATTGCGACAGGAGAATCACGAATTGCCATTGTTGGGGGCGTGAATGCTCTTTGTGGGCCTGGACTTACTCGGGTTTTGAACAAGGCTGGGGCTGTCTCTCCAGACGGACAGTGCTGCTCATTTGACGAAGATGCGAACGGCTATGGCCGTGCAGAAGGTGCGGGGGCTGTCATTCTTAAAAATCTGTCCCAGGCTCGGCTTGATGGAGACCATATCCTTGCAGTTATCAAGGGTACTGCAGTCGGCCACAATGGGAGAACAAATGGAATCATGGCCCCAGATTCCAAGGCACAGCAACTTGTGGCTAGAAATGCCTTGCAGGCCGCAAATGTTGATCCTGACACCGTACATTACGTCGAGGCCCATGCCACATCCACAGCACTTGGGGATCCAACAGAAATCAACGCCCTTGCAGAAGTTTACGGGAAAAGGCATTCTATAGACAATCCTTGTTATATTGGCTCTATCAAACCAAATATCGGACATTTAGAGGCAGGCGCTGGGGTTATGGGCCTCATTAAGTCTATTTTGATAGTTCAAAAAGGACTGATGCCGCCTCAAGCCAACCTAAAAACGCCGAACACGAAAATAAAATGGAATGACTCCGGCCTAAAAGTGGTTCAGGAATTAACAGACTGGCCAGATGACACAGGGCCACGCCGCGCTGCAGTGTGCTCTTATGGCTATGGTGGAACAGTGTCTCATGCTGTTATTGAAGAGTTCCAGGAATTTTCTCCCATCCTCCATAATGAGACAAGGGACTCGTCCAATGGGCACCTGCTTCTACTTTCCGCTCCACATGAACAACGCTTAGCAGCTCTAGCTCAATCGCTCAAAACTTGGATAGGGCAACAAGACAAGGCTCAATTTGATTTGGCTATGTTTTGCAAAACCCTTGCGGCACGCCGAAGCCATTATGAGTTCAGAACATCGGCAGTCATACATGATGTTGAAGGCGCCATAGCTGCTTTGGATTACATATGCAAAGGAGCAAACAATCAATGGATTACCCGGAGCCGCGTTCTCCCATCTGATTTGGCGAAGGATGTTGTATGGGTTTTCTCTGGCCACGGAGCACAGTGGACCGACATGGGAAAGGAGTTAATAAACAACAGGGTTTTCCATGATGCAATTCAAGCCCTTGACAAGATTGTTGAGGAAGAAATCAACCTTTCCCCCATTGAATGGCTTCAGTGCGGAGATTTCAATTCCTCCGATCGCGTGCAGATTTTGACATATATTGTACAAATCGGAATAAGCGCCTTGTTAAAGAGCCGTGGTATCTATCCCCAGGCAGTTATTGGTCACTCTGTAGGAGAGATAGCTGCCTCTGTGGTCGCAGGTGCTCTTTCACCCGAAGAGGGCACTCTTATAGTGACTCGCCGAGCCACCTTGTACAGGCAAGTCATGGGCCAAGGGTCAATGTCCCTGATCTCCAAGCCTTATCAAGAGGTATGCGAAGAACTTAAGAAAGCCAGAGACGTAGTAGCGGCCATCGATTCTTCTCCAACTTCCTGTGTAATTGCAGGGACAAATGATTCCGTGGCTGCTCTCACCGAGAAATACCAAAAACAAGGAGTGAAAACATATACTGTGAAGACAGACATCGCATTCCATAGCCCAATGTTGGACCAACTGAGAGAGCCTCTTGCAGCTACACTACAGGGTGTGCTAAATCCAGCTCATCCACATGTGAGGCTATTCTCTACTTCGTTATTGAACCCACGGGGCAAAAATCTTCGGGACTCTACATATTGGGTCAACAATATGACTAACCCAGTGCGGCTTACATCTGCAGTCCTTGCTGCCGTTGACGACGGTTACCGAAGATTCCTAGAAATATCTAGTCATCCACTTGTTTCACATTCTATCAGTGAGACACTGATGGAAGCTGGGATTGAGGACTACTCCATGATACAAACCCTTCGTCGAGATCAGCCAGCTGAAAAAAGCATACTCCATGCAATTGGCCAACTTCACTGCAGCGGAGTAGAAATCAACTGGAATAGTCAGATGAAAGGTACATGGATGCAAGACGTACCTCTGAGCCCATGGGTCCATCGCCCAATAGCGCAGAAACAACCCATCCACAGTACTATGGGTATGGTAGCGGATATTCATGATGTTGACACGCATACACTGTTGGGTCGCCGCACCACCATAGCCGGTACAGATCTAGTTGTGCATTCGACTACGCTTGATAGCACCACAAAACCTTTCCCAGGGAGCCATCCAGTGTTTGGTACAGAAATTGTCCCGGCTGCCTGTCTACTCAATACATTTTTGAAAGCGACTGGAAACTCGTCACTACAGAATACCATACTCAGGGTCCCTGTTTCAACGAGTGGATCTCGAGCTGTCCAGATAGTCATACAAGGCGATGAAGTGAAGCTCATGTCTCGGTTCATACAGAACGAAAGCGTTGAAGAAAGCTCCTGGGTAACACACACCGAGTCCCGTTGTGCAGCCCGCACCGAAGCCATCGTAGAAGTGATTGATCTGTCTGGAATTAAGACTCGTATCGGGACTCGACTTGATGATGACTTCACAATTGACTATCTAGCCAAGGTTGGCGTTGCAGCTATGGGATTCCCCTGGAAGGTCATGGAGCATTATGGCAATGCAGATGAAATGATAGCGAAGGTAGACGTCTCTCCCAATACCGTGAATCCAGATTGGGACCAGTCATCCTGGGCCCCATTACTAGATGCAGCTACTTCGATTGGGTCTACGATATTCTTCTCTGATCCTCGACTACGTATGCCAGCTCAGATCCAGCAGGTAGACATTTGGACTGCCCAGGACCCACCTAAGATAGGCTGGATATACGTCAAGAGAGACACCACAATTGACTACTCTTCCCACGTTTATATACTGAGTGAGGACTCTCGATTGCTTGCTAAATTTACTTCCATGCGATTTTCAGAAATTGAGGGCACACCTGGTGCAAGCGGGAGCATGTCCAGCTTGGTGCATCGTGTTGCTTGGCCTCCAGCTTATCCTGCAGAGGACCCCATTCCAATTCAGAGGATTATCATGGTTGCTATGAGCAATACCATGCGAGAGACATACGCCAGAACGCTACCGGCCAATATACAGTTGGATCAGCTTACAACTATAGAGGCTTTGCGTGAAGTGTTGCCATCCATTGGAAATCAGAAAGGGACTGCCATAGCCTATATCCCGGAAGAAGTCCAGTCACTGCAAGAGGTGCCTTCAGCAGCTGAAAGGTTCACCTGGCAGCTACTGGAGATTATTAAATATGTTGCTCAGAACTCTTTGGCTACCAAATTATTTGTGCTTACCACGAACATGATGGAAGCAGAGACTCCTACGGCGCTCGCACACTCTCTACTATTGGGACTTAGTAGAGTCATTGCCAGCGAACACCCCGACAACTTTGGAGGGCTTATTGATGGAGAACAGCATACAGTGCCTCTCACTGCCATGAAGTATATCCAGGGGCCCGATGTAATTCGTATCATGGACGGTATTCCGCGAACAGCTAGACTCCGTGCTCTATCCCGAGACTGTCGGAAGCAGGAAGTTTCCAAGGCTCTTCCCCGGCCCGAGGGAACATATTTGATTGCTGGTGGCTTGGGTGTTCTAGGCCTCGCCGTGGCTGAATTCCTGGTCAGCCACGGCGCTCGACGGCTTGTTCTTATTTCCCGACGAGGCCTCCCACCACGGAGAATCTGGGATCGGGCCAGTAAGGAGCTACAGCAAGTTATATCCAAGATTCGGGATCTTGAGCAGCAAGGCGTTTGTGTTCACATTTTAGCTTTGGATCTCTCAACCTCACAAGCGGCAGAGCGTTTGCTGGAGAAATTGGACCGGTTGAATCTCCCACCAGTATTGGGCGTTGTCCATGCCGCAGGTGTGTTAGAGAATGAACTTATTCAAGACGCCACACAAGATGCGTTTGCTCGCGTCCTCTCGCCCAAAGTTGCTGGGTCATTAGCGCTGCATGAGGCGTTCCCTCCTGATTCACTCGACTTCTTCGTTCTCTTCTCATCATGTGGTCAATTATTTGGGTTCCCCGGGCAAGGTGCATACGGCAGCGCCAACACCTTTCTCGACGCCTTAGCTACACACCGCCGTAATCTGGGCGAGAATGCCGTTTCATTCCAGTGGACAGCATGGCGTGGAATGGGGATGGGCAGTGACAGTGACTTTGTTGCTGCAGAGCTTGAGAGCAAAGGCATCACTGATGTGACCAGACACGACGCCTTTCAGGCTTGGCTGTACCTTTTACAGTTCAATACCGATCATGGAGTTGTACTTCGCAGTCGCTCCTTTGAGGAAGGAGAACCGCTGCCGACGCCCTTACTCAAGGACATTGCGATCCGTCGTGCACGATCTATAACTGACCCACCCAGTGTCACCGACGGTGGTTCTTCGAGTGGTGCCTGTAAGAAGCTTCCATCCTCAGGGCCGGAACTCAAAGCATACCTTGACGAGCAGATCCGTGAATGCGTCGCCAGCGTCCTTCATCTCCCATCCACGGACGTTGACTCAAGGATAGCATTATCGGATCTTGGACTAGACTCAGTCATGAACACTGCCCTTAGGCGGCTGCTTCAACGAACTTTCAAGATAAACATCCCACCTACATTAGTCTGGAGTTACCCAACAGTCAAGCATCTCGTTGGCTGGTTTTCCGAGAAGTTGGCTAAGTAAGGGAAGATATGCTTTTCTCAACATTTCTGTTGTTTTTCCTTTTTAATTGCTGGTATTTCCTTTTTTTTCCCTTATTTTTGGGTTTTGTTTTCCACAAGTGAAATAAAGCAGATACTACATGGTGGATAAATGGAGGGTGGTTCGGCTAAGTCCGTGATATTCGCAATTAGATATGTCTCCAGAATGAATGAACGAATTATTAGTTAGTTACCAGCTTTTTGGTCACCCATCCAGTTATCTACCTCGTCAAAGTATCCCTAAAGAAACCCCAGTTACCTCTCCAATGGCAGGGCCAGCATTGAGTGCATAACTGCACCGTGCAGAATGTGCGGTGACACACTATCAGATCTGCCCTCAAGATTTGCAGCCCGCTGTCGATCTACATCTGATATCCGTCATCTGATATGCCCAAGGGACCCGCTGCGGCTGGCTTGGCGGCGGCCTCCCTTATTTCAACCTCGCTCAAAGTCCGTCCACAACGCGAAAACTTCTAGCTTTCCACCATCTAAATAGATCCGGCCGATACGGAGGACTCCCCCATATTATACCCACAGGATCGTGGCTCTGCTCGTTGCCATTGTAGCGGTAACGATGATGATCTTCAAAAAGCAAAAGGAGAACTAGTTATGACGCAAAAAGGGACCATCTTGATAAGGCTGCATAGTGTGCGCCTCCAGAGTGTTGGCAGGTTAACGCCCACCAGATTCAATAATGTGATCGATGCCGATTTATTTATGCAGAAACCTTAACGCCCAATGGCTGCGGACGAATATTTGAGTCTTCCAGTGGGGAAGCCGTTGTTGCTCCCTGCAGGCGAGCTGTGGTTTCCCCAGGATTTGAGTTGAGCCCGACCCAAGGACCAGAGACAGCTTTCTAATAATAATGCCGATGGGATGACACAAAAAGAAAAAGCCTATGATTAACAGAGGTACCAGCTTGTAATCGGGCCGCCTGCTCCGGTTCGTCATTTACACGAAGAATAAAGCTGCTTTATTGCTTGATCCGTTCATCCCTTCTCGTCGTTTCTTATCCAGCAACAAACAACATCAGCTTCATCTCTTGGAGCAGGACTGCTGACGCCCCATGGCCGCTTTTCTTCCCAGCACGGCGTTCGGTAGCTGCATCCGGTGGCTAACTAACGACCGATTATTTCAGTACCCAGAGGAGCAGGCCAGGTTTCAACTACCGCCGAAATATTTGTCTGCCGTGGAACAAGCCGCACAACAGTCAGGGTCACGTCGTACCGAAGGCAGTGATGAGCAACAAAACGAGGGCCTACCATCACCAGACCCCTCCTCGCCAGGAGCAGACAGCGGAGATAGGTCGGTAGATATAGAGAAAAGCGCACAGGACGACGAATTTCATTGGATCAGTCCCGAGGTAACGCCCGATGGTACAATATTGGTCGGATGGTATTCTGATACCGATCCTGGAAACCCCCATAACTGGCCGTCATGGTTGAAATTCCTGGTATATTTCCAAATCAACTTCTATACCTTTGTCATCTACATGTCCTCCTCGATCTTCTCTATCGTGCAGCAAGAGTTCATGACAATATATGGCGTCTCTCAGTCTGTGGGCTCTCTGGGTCTTGCACTGGTCCTTCTGGGCTATGGAATTGGACCGTTGCTTTTCAGTCCGATGTCAGAAATCACAGCTCTCGGGCGGAATCCTCCATACATAGTTACTTTGGTGATTTTCATGGTTTTAACTGTGATCACTGGTGTGGTTAATAATGCGCCTGGATTTCTTGTTCTACGGTTCCTCCAGGGATTCTTTGGCTCGCCGTGTCTGGCCACTGGAGCTGCGTCGTTGGCGGATGTGACCAGTCTCATCAACCTGCCTTATGGCCTTTGGGTCTGGGGCACATTCGCTACTTCTGCGCCTGCAGTGGCCCCTACTATCGGCGGGTTTAGCTCTGTGGTCAAAGGTTGGCGGTGGTCCATGTGGGAAGTTCTCTGGGGCACAGTACCATGTCTAATACTTCTGGTTCGTTGTACCCTTACACTCTTCTAATGTAAGACTCAAAATTAACTATAATCCAGTTCTTCCTCCCCGAAACCTCTTCCGAGACAATTCTCCATCGTCGTGCAAAAAGGCTCAGAAAAGTTACGGGTAACAACGCCTTCAAGGCTCCCTCCGATCTCGACAAGTCCAAGTCATCTATTAGTGCCATAGTGAACGCCGCCCTGGTTATTCCCTGGAAAATCAACGCCTTGGATCCCGCCATCCTCTTCACCACCGTCTACACCGCCCTGGTCTACGCCATCTTCTACTCCTTCTTCGAGGTCTTCCCACTCGTCTACCTCGACATATACCACATGAGCCTACCACACATGGGACTTGTATTCCTCACTGCCATAGTTGCCGCTTTAACCATCATGCCGTTCTACTTCATTGTCACCCACTTTGCAATCTCCAAGCCCATTTTAAGCGGCACCTTCCCTCCACTAGAACGCAGACTTATACCGGCCCTTCTTGGCTCCTTGCTCGTGCCCACAGGCATGTTCTTGTTCGCCTGGACATCAAAGAAGGAGATCCACTGGATCGTGCCAACGTTGGGGTTCTTCTTCATCATGGCTGGTGTAATTACCCTACTGCAATGTATGTTCGGGTACATGGCAGTCGCATACCCGAAGTACGGCGCCAGTCTTTTTGCCATGAACGACTTTGCCCGGTCGACATTAGCATTTGCGTCGATTTTATGGTCTGGCCCGCTGTATCGGAATCTCGGAATAGCAAAGGGAACAAGTTTGATCGGGGCGTTGACGGCTGCTTGTGTGTTTGGGGTGTATGCCTTGTACTTGTACGGGCCCGCGTTACGAAAAAGAAGTCGATTTGCGGAGTAGGGACGTTGAGATGATTCATGAGGTTTTACACTTAACTTATTTAATGACTGACTAGGTTTCCTAGTTATGTGCGATGGTTCGTTCGGTTCCACGGACTGTATATTAAGACTTATATCTACAATATAGCTAATGATAATGTGTACGTGTGTAGGTGTGATGTTCACAGTAGCATGGATATGGCCACTCTCAGTCCAGGTTTACTGCACAATTACATATCATTGATGTCTTAAGAGATACGACATTACAATCTCGACTAGTTCTAAATAATTAACCACAGGGATGAGGGGACCAAGTTCGCAGACGGGACAGGCCGCAACCTTAACTGACACTTGGGGCCAGGACCAGATGCCAATCCTGACGAACACGTCGAGTATCCCAGTTAACCACGGAGTATATAGCCAGCTGAATAACAGCATAATTAACAAGAACATATTTTTTTTTTTTCGTTCGATAACATCCTAATTCTAGACTAGAGAGAATCTTTCTAGTTTACTTTTGTGTTTTTGATTCGATGATGCCCATGTCTTTTTGCACCCAGGCCCAGAACTGAAGTCATCTCTCGCAGAATTCCATAACCATATCCCTAGCCCCGGCCATATCCATGTCCATGCCTAACTAGCTAGCTAGCTAGCTAGCCAGCCAGCCAGCCAGCCAGTTGTATCCCTTCTCCATTCCGTCGAGTCCATTCCATTTTCACTTTAAGTCAATGCTTTGCGTCTAGAGCAACACAGGGGCGGGTAGATGGGGGTGTGTATATTGGGTATGTGGGTATGTGGTATTGAGAGTTTTATCGTCCATGCTAAGCGGTCTTGTCTCCACTTCTATGAAAGCGAGAGGAAGCAGGTAAAGTAAGTAAGGGGAACGAATGAATAGGGAAACTGGGAGTCTGCAGTTTGGAGGGAGGATATGGGATGAGATAAAATGTTGAAAAAAAAAAAAAAAAGGTGGAGAATGATCTGTTGTTGGTGTTGTAGTAGTAGTAGTAGTAGATATTCAGAACTCAGTTATTTTATGGGGCAGGTACTTCCCTCGAGCATAGAGGGAGTCACTATTCATTCCTTCATTGGGTCATGGCGGATATGTATGTATGGTTCTTTCTGGGATGTGGTTGAAAATGGAGGCATGTTTGTCATATTACCTGTTGCCAGGGTCCATGGAATGGAAAGATAGTGATGGTAAATGAAAAAAAGACAAGAGACAGGACTTCGAAGTAGGAGGTGTGGCGGGGAGATGAAGGATGGGGATGGAAGACGGAAGAGGTTAACATGTTGAAGGGTGAGTGATGTCAATGGGGCCAGAGTAGATGGGGTAATGGACGCTTAGGATATATCGAGACTGCAGCTATGTTTCTCATAGAGCGGAGAACACAAAGAGCTAAGAGGTATCGGGTTAGCAAAATGGTGTAGGTTGACGACGATGAAGAAGAAGAAGAAGTAGAGCTTACATTATTAGTGGCAGCAATGGCGATGCTGTCTTCAAATGGATGCCAGCTCATATGCAAGATCTTCTTGTTGAAATCAATCTGGTCAGCATCCGTTTCCTTCCTCATCCGTCCCCCCGCGCCGGACGGACTACCGGATCTGGATCCGTTCTTCTTCCCAGCGTTAGTGGAAGCCGTAGAGTTGATTGGCGTCGGGACGCCGACCTTCTTAGCCTTGAACGCCGTCTTATCCGCCTGTAGTACGACCTCTGTTTCCTTGGTGGGGTCGGTCGGGTAAATCATAAAATTATTGTTATAGCTTCCCGTCATGACGTTTTGGGCGTCACCAGAGAAGACGACTTCGAACTTGTCGAAGATGCTGTCATTTTCGTAGGTGTCGCAGAGGCGTGGGCGAAGATGTTCGTGGATGGGAATGGTTTTTACGGGCTGACGCTCCATGTTGACATCCCAGATTTTGACGGTAAGGTAGTCACGGGAGAGGATGTATCGGCCGTCATGGGAGAAGCGAACATCGGAGATGGAGGAGATGATTTCGGAGAAGAATGAGCGAGAGGTGATGTCTTCTTCTTGTTCGAATTCTAGAAGCCGTTAGTATATTGTAGACTTGGAGGAAAAGATAGAGAGTGAGAAATAGTGCGTGCGGGGGGGAGCGTACGTTTTTGATGTTCATCACATAGGGCTCGCTGCCGCATGTCGGCAAGCTTGATGGTACCCTTGGAGCTTGCGTACATGAACCAGTTACAACTGGTGGGGTGAAACTCTGCGGCGGTGATGACCTCAGTCAATTCCTCCATGTTGGCAGGCTTGATGTCGACGATGTTAAAGCTCTGGTCCTGGATGTTAAGGTTCCAGAGATTGATGCGCAAGTCATCACTGCTGATGAAGGTCTCTCCATCGCTGTTGACCGATATGCTGTTGATATGGTATGCATGGGCGTTTGCATATATCCGCCTGGGCACGGCTGCGACGACTGTCTCATGGTGCGTCATCCGAGGGAGCTTGAGGGCAGAGGAGTCCTTGAAGGAGACGCGAGGAGGGCGGGCGATGCCACCGCCGCTGACGACGCCGGCCGGGGTGAGGTCGCGGGACAGGTTGTTCTCCGCCACTACCTTGAGCGACTTGTCGAAGACCTTCCATAGCTTTATGGTCTTGTCGTTTGTAGATAGGAGATAATGCGATGCGTTCTGCCGTCTACACCATTTTATCTTGTTGATCTTCTCTTCGATCTCTAGGGATTTGAGATAGTCGAACTCGGGCTCGTGGGATTGGAACTCTGTATGGAACTTGTACTCGCATGTTTTTTTCTATTAATTCCCACCCGCCCCGGGGATGTCAGTCGAACGTGAACTCGTTGACTTTGGCAAGGAAAAGGAAAGCTGCTAACCGTCTCGTTTCTCTCGAACAGGACAACTCGGCCACCTTTGTCTCCGGTAGCGAGATAGTTGCCGGTGTGGTCGAACTCGACGGTGGAGATGATATCAGCTAGTTAAGAGAGGAGGCGGCGTCAGTCGGTTTGTTCCAGCTGTCAACAAGTTCAAGTCGGGGCGAAAAAGTAAAATAAGAAATAATAATAATAAAAAAAAATACCTTCTGTTATGTCTTCTACATCGCCCTTGTCGCCGAAGCACCTGTCCTGGAGGTCAGCAAACCGAGGTCCTGAGCACGAATCGAGCGGGAGTCAGGGAGGACAGACTGTGTGAACTTCCAGGTGGGTGAACCTGGATCGCCGTCTACCATTGTTCACTGTCTCACGCCGTTCCGAGCGAAGCAAAACCAAGCCGTAAGAGCAGAAACTCGTTGGATCTCGAGACAGGCGGCCGTCGAGCGGTGTCTCCTGCTGTCCGTCTGCCTGAGCTGGGGTTCGAGAGTCGGTCGATGGCGGGCGTGGGTGGTGGGCGGCTGGCTGGTCGATGTCGATGTCGGAGGAGGAGGAGGAGGTGGTGGTGGTGGTTTTGGTGGTTGTTTGGTTTGGTTTGGTTTGGGGGCGATAAGGCCAGCCAGGGAGATAAAAAAAAAGGTAAGTTTAGTTTAGTTTAGTTAGCTCACCTAAGGGGGGGTCGCTCAGTTAGTGCGAATAGAACAGAACAGACACAGTTAATAGAGCAGAGTAAGATAGAATAGAGTAGGATAGAAGAGAAGATGCAGAGTACTTAAGCTGGCCTTTATCTGTCTTCTCTTCCTTTTCCTAGCTCTCCGCCTTTTTTTGAGAGGGATGCACCTCTTTGGTGGGCAGCGCAGTAAAAGAGACACAGCAGAGAAGAAGAAGAAGAAGAAGAAGAAGAGGAAGAAAAAGGCTGCGGGAGTTGCCTACCGGGAGAGAGGCGACAAGAAGGGACCGAAGAGGCGCTGGCTGGATGGTTGTTGGATAGAAGTTTTATTGTGCTGTTCTTGCAGGAAAGAAAGCTGTCTGCGTAAGGTGGAGCAGAGACGGTGGTAGATAGATAGATAGAGAGCTAAGCTGGAGAAGCAGAGAAGAAGCCAGGAGTCAGTCAACTGCGCAGCCGGTTTAAGTAGTCAGATAACTAGCAGTGAGAAAAGAGAGACAGAGACAGAGAGCAGTGAAGGAAGAGAGCAGCTGTCGAGTGGGAGAAGGCCACCAGGAGCCACAGCAGAGCTCGGAGAAGGCCAGCAGCGAGCTCGAGGGCATGGAAGCAGAGAAGAAGAGACTCACCTGTGACTGCTTGACGGAGCTGGTGGGATTTATTGGTAGTAGACAGTAGACAGCCAGAGGCAGAAGAGAGTGAAGGATGGAGATAGTAGTAGTGAATAGTGAAGATGGTGAAGAAGCAAGTCTGTCACTTGCGATGGTCAGTCAAGCTACGCCACAAGGCAGACAGACAAGACAGACAGACAAGATAACTAGACAGACAGTTAACCCTCAGGCTCGCTCAGATGATGGTAGTGGCCAGCAGGATAGACATATAGACAAGCAGGTAGCACATCGATCTCTCCCCCACAGTCTGGCTGGTTCAGAGAAGAAGCAAAGAGCTGTCAATGCCCAACTCTCTCTCCCTTCACATGCAAGTCACTCGCCTAGGCAGAGGAAGAGTTGCATCATACCTAGTACAAGCCGCTATATAAACTCACAAGCCCAACCCCTCGACCTACTTAGACTCGACCGACCCCAGACGAGATAGTTAGTTAGCCAGCATGGACGAGAAGACGGGAGACAAGCATGAGAAGCAGCAGAAGCAGCCGCAGAGCGCAGACAGGCCCTCCTCCGGCTCTACGTCAATGGCAGACAGGATACAGTCCTCCGCTGCAGGGCTGTTGAAATCAGCCATTACACCCTCTGCTTCGACACCAGCGGGCTCCTACGCCTTTGCAAGGGACGTGTCTTCTTCGCTGGCGGGCGTTTCTAGCTCTGAAAAGGCCGGTGGTGCTTCTTCTTCTTCTTCTTCGGCAGCCAGACCAGGAGCAGCTGTAGAGGGCGGGATACACCATGGCTCATCATCTACGCAGCCAGGCTCGGCTCTTCGGTCACTGCCTTCCCAGGGGATGCAGTCGAGCTTGGTAGACCAGGAGAGGGAGTTTCAGCAGGGAGGCTTGCCTGTTGATGGTGATACTGCTGATGGTGCTGGTACCGGCTATATATCTACATCTACTACTAGCTCCAAGGGGAAGGGCAGAGAAGTAGATATGGGAGACGAGCAGTTCGATTCTGCCTGGAAATCTGCTTCTTCCAATGCTACTCCCTCTGCAGTCACGGAACAAGAGCGGAGAGACGGCCAGGCTGTTTCGGATTTGCTGTCGTCTGCCACCTTCGACCCGTCGTCTCTACCGGATACGGATCCAGACGAACTACAGCCAGAACCAGAGCCAGACATGAGCTTTCTTACGACGAACCAGCGCGGAGAGCAACAACCTGACATATCCTCTACATCGCTAATACCAGACATTGACTTTGTTCTCTCTTCATTACGTGGTATTCCGCCGCAGTCTCAGGTCGAGCATCTGCGTGACTTGCCCGGTGTAGCAGAGTGGCTGGACCTTGACCGGGAGTACCAAGATGTGGTATGGGGTTCTCTCAAGCCTGCTGTGGAAGAGGCGAGGCAGGAAGTGCAGGAGAAGCTTGAAAAGGGGGAACAAGGGGCTGCAGTTGGCGACGGGCCGGCTGTGGCACGCCTGAGGATGGTGTTGGCGCATTTAAAGGAGAAGAAGAGCATATAACTCGAGCTTGCATGATTTTGACGTGAACATGTACGATAGATATATGGATGGGCATATAGATGAAATAAATTTCTTGGTAAATTGGTCGTAAAAGTACATCTCTGATGTGGGATATAAGAGACAAACGGGAGAGACAAGACGCGGAAAAAGACGTAGATGCGTATATACAACAACTGTGTGTGCAAGGCTTAGTATTCCAGGCTGGGAGTCTGGCCCTTGACACGGCCAATGACGACGCCGGCAGCGTACTTGGGGATAACCTCGTCGTCATGAAGCATCTCGAATTCTAGAAAACACCGTTAGTTTGTATTAATACATAACTGAGTAGAATGAAGATTAAGACTTACCCTCAGTGGCATCTCGGCCCATATGGCTGAACAGGGCCTGCGCACCACCAGGGTGCTCGTCCAACCAGTTCGTCACATCCATCACCACACCCTTGACCACGATCCAGAGGTCGTCCTTCTTATTGTGTTTCGCTACTTCCTCCATCGTGAACTCCTTCTCGGGCACCTTGAAGCTTGCTACATCAGCGGCGACGGGCTCAGGACCGGCAGAGGTGGCACCAGCGCCAGCCCCCGAAGAGGCCGCCGGAGCAGACGACGACGACGTGGGAGACGCCGAGGTCGAGGCTGAGGCTGTTGTTGTGCTTGGGGCTGCGAGGGATTGGGTGTTGCAGGGCTTACCTGACGGGGCACTCCATTCGACAGATACCTTGCCGGGCTGGTTGGGGTCGATGTGCAGGGATATCTGGTTCAGGCGCTGTTGTGCACCGCCGGCAGCAGACGACGCAGCAGGGTTCTTGAGCAGCTGCTGGAACAGGTACTGGCTGGCAGAGTCGCCGGCAACACGGCCGTAGACGACGCAGCCGAGCAGAGAGGATCCGCCGAGGCGGTTGGCGCCGTGGACACCACCGGCGAGCTCACCGCAGGCGAACAGGCCGTCGAAGGGCTTCTTCTCGCTGTTGAGCACCTGGGCCTTGTCGTTGATCTCGATACCGCCCATGGTGAAGTGCAGCACGGGCTCCATCAGCGCAACGTAGAAGGTATCTTCGACCTGCATGGGCAGGTTGTGGAAGAACTTCTTGCCCCATGGGTCGGGCTTCTTGCCCTCACCGATAGCATTGTAGTCGTCGAAGGTCTTGCGGAGGGCAGCTTCGCCGCAGCCGATTTCTTTGGCGAGCTCGGCTCCGGTCATCTTCTTCATCAGTCCACGGCCGGAGTAGTGGCGGGTGTGGAAGTCGAGGATGTTGGAGGCCTTGCTGTTAAGCACAAGGCGGATAGGCCACTTCTTCTTCTCCTTCTCCTTCCACATCTGGCCGGAGACGTAGTCACGGTGGCCGAGCTCGTCAGCGAATCTCTCACCGTCCGAGTTCAAGAGGATACCACCCTCACCACGGAGTGCTAGAATGGAACAATTAGCATCTAGTTCACAAGTTTTCTCTGTATCATAAATGTTGGCTTACCCTCAGCAGCAAGGAACTTCCACTTGGAGCCTGGGTCCTTGGGGTCGATGAGACCGGTAGGGTGGACCTGGACCTTGTCCATGTCAATGCCATTAGCACCAATGGCCATGAGCATCTTCTGGCCGTCACCGGTGGCGTGGACACCGTTGGTACTGGACAGGCCAAGGGTGTCTGGTCGCCATTTCTTCAAGAGGGAGGTCTCGGTGAAATCGGCAGCGTAACCACCAGTAGCCAGGACGACAACACCCTCTTCAGTGTGAGTCTGGCCGTTGTACTCGTATGTAACACCGGTGACCTGGTTACCTTCCTTGTTGACAGCAACCACTCTGGCCTTCTTGAGCACCTTCATGCGCTCCGGCTCCTTCTCGGTAAGCTCCTCGAGGCGCTGCATCAGGGCGTAAGTGATGGCCATGCCGGGGAACTTGGCATCATGGCCACGATGTGTTCGGGGGAACGAGTGTCCACTGCTACCCGTCAGTAATCCTTGTATTTTCACCAGTTTCTATAGTGTAGAGAGACGCACCCAAGTCGAGACACGAGGGTCAGATCGAGGTTGAAGACATCCTGCAGCCACTCGACAGCGGCGGCCGACTTGTATGTGAGGACCTTGATGAGTTCAGGGCGGGCCTTGTCTCTGGCAGACTTGAGCGTGTCCTCGTAGAACTGCTTGACGCTGTCCTGGATACCGAGATCGACCTGGGTGCGGGTAAGGGCTCCGTTGATACCAGAGGTGGCCTTGGTCGAGTTTCCTCCAAAAAAGTCTTGAAGCTATTCAGCCAGAGTCCTCCACCACGAGCTGCGCAAAAGAAAGGACGGACTCAAAACTCACTCTGTTTATCCAACAGCAAGACGTTGCCTCCGTTGAGGTAGACTGTGTGGGCAGCACTGAGGCCAGACACTGTGAAGCAAGTCAAGTCAGTCAGTTTCATCGTGTCGCGGCCCGTCACCGTACCTGGTTGAGGGACAACTTACATCCACCACCGACAACAATAACCCTGGGAGCCATGACGGATTACGGGCAACAAGAAAGAAAACAAAAAGGGTCAAGAGTATATAGTGCAATGGAAGAGGGAGAAGGCTGCGCGGTAGAAGGAGGTGGTGAGCGAGGAGGTAAGAAAAGGAGGAGAAGAAGAAGAAGAAGAAGAAGAAGAAGAAGAAC